GGCAGATAACATGAGTGTGTCAACTATCTGTGGTGACAGTTGGCAGATAACATTAGTGTGTCAACTATCTGTGGTGACAGTTGGCAGATAACATGAGTGTGTCAACTATCTGTGGTGACAGTTGGCAGATAACATTAGTGTGTCAACTATCTGTGGTGACAGTTGGCAGATAACATGAGTGTGTCAACTATCTGTGGTGACAGTTGGCAGACCGTGTCATTGGCATCAAGTGGAAATGTTGTCATTAACACCAGCAATTTGCTTCCCTTGGTCAATGATAACAACAGTGTGTAAACTGTACCTAGGATATCTGCAATTTGTTTGCGTTTACTTAAAATAACAATTTATTTATCAGATTTATTGGTGAGACAATTTGTCAACTTTGAGGATGATGACACTTTGTATACTTTTTTGTGACAAGAATATTTGTAAGCTTATAGGATTAACAACTGTCACCGTTCACTGCATGGTGTGTTACCTTGTTTGTGCGACCGTCACAGTGTCACGTAACGTCACAGTGTCATGTCACAACGTCACGTCACAGTGTCATGTCACAACGTCACGTCACAGTGTCATGTCACAATGTCATGTCACAACGTCATGCCACGCCGTGTCACGTCACGTCAAATCACAATGTCACATCACAATGTCACGTCATGTCACAACGTCACATCATAATGTCACAACGTCACTCACGTCATGTCACAGTGTCATGTCACACGGTGTCACGCCACGTCATGTCACAGTGTCACTTCATGCCATGCCACAGTGTCACTTCATGTCACAGTGTCACACTGTCATGTCACAACGTCACTCACGTCATGTCACAGTGTCACATCACACGGTGTCACGCCACGTCATGTCACAGTGTCACTTCACGCCATGTCACAGTGTTTCGTCACATCATGTCACAGTGTCACTTCATGTCGTGTCACGTCATGTCACAATGTCATGTCACATCACGTCATGTCACAGTGTCATATCACACGGTGTCACGCCACATCATGTCACAGTGTCACTTCACGCCATGCCACAGTGTCACGTCATGTCACAGTGTCTCGTCACATCATGTCACAGTGTCACTTCATGTCGTGTCACGTCATGTCACAATGTCATGTCACATCACGTCATGTCACAGTGTCATATCACACGGTGTCACGCCACATCATGTCACAGTGTCACTTCACGCCATGCCACAGTGTCACGTCATGTCACAGTGTCTCGTCACATCATGTCACAGTGTCACTTCATGTCGTGTCACGTCATGTCACAGTGTCACGTCACGTCATGTCACAGTGTCACAGCTTTGTTTCCTTGTCTATGAGTCCGTCACTGCTTTGATTCCTTGTCTATGAGTCCGTCACTGCTTTGATTCCTTGTCTATGAGTCCGTCACTGCTTTGATTCCTTGTCTATGAGT